AAAAGTGCTTGGTTTTTGGTCCTCTAAAACAAACAATCGGAATTTCTCATGTGCAGAAACATGTGTTGCACGGTGTAAGTAGTCAGCTATCTCCAACGGGTTGGGAGTAATGACCTCCGGCAGTCACATGAGACTTTTGCATCCTCCCCATACATGCGTCGATTTCGGGGGGATAGGGGGGAGCGACACCTATACTATACTGTTTTGAAAAGGTGGGGACATAAGCTATTTAATGGCATATGAGCCGATTGATTTCTTGAGTATTCCTTCAACTTTAGTTATACCGCACGGTTTAATACGCGCTTATTTGGAAACTGATATTCTAAATTGTGCACACCCATTGAAATATCACATCGTTTGGATTCTGCCAAATTGTCGTTATCGTATCGTCTCGTTGCGATTGTATCGCATATGGGTAACAGCAGAAATAACAGCAACTATGTGACACTGGTGCCTGATTCATCAACATCATCCACCGAAGATCAATTTTATCTCTTCAAATGTGAAACTGTTCAATTGATTCGCAATAGCAGCCGCTATACCAAAGCAGCATATCTTTTGTTCTACGAACAATGCACTTGACAATGGCAAAGATATTCTTGAGCTTAACCTGTTGAATGTCTCTTAGGCTGGCCTGGATGAATGTGTTCAGCGCTTCTGTGTGACGGATAGGTATTTTTCTGATCCTTCAACTGTTTCGTCGGGTGTTTCATTATTTTTGGACTGTAACACATCATTTTGTCCCATTTCTGATATGATTGAGTATTGTTTGCCACTGTCTAAATTCATTCAAGAATCAATAAAATCATCATCAAATTTGTATATGCGTCGCTGTAACAAAATTAAATGATATACTTAGATCTATTTATTTTTTTATTTTTTTGTGCAAAAAAAAAGCATCAAAATACAATGACACAATTTGCTTCGAAACACATTTTGTTTGTAAAAAAAAACTTACTATCAGTTTTGCTCGGCACTTCATTCAACACATTCCATAATTCAATTGGAAGTTCGCCATTACGTATTTTACGGGCATGATTGTCATCTTGTTGTGAAGTTAATAATGCGTCATGCTTTTTTACATGTTTTTCTTGTTGTTGCTTCTCCATGAAAAATACGCGCCTTGAACCGACACCAAGTGCCGAGCGTCGACGCCTCATGTGTATCAAGACAGCGATGCGGTATACCTCATACATGCGCAAGGCGCTCAAAGGCCGTAGCGTTAAAAGGGGAAAACATACGTGTATATATATATTTTGTCACTTTGATTGAGCCGATAAATTTCCTTTTTGAAAGATACTAGCCAAGCAAATACGTGAATTTATTGTTTTTTTATTGAATATTATGCACTAAGTGAGATCTCTTTAAAAAAATAATTGTTTAAAAATAAATGTGTGTACTATTTATTTATTATTTGTTATGATTAATCTGACACCTTATTGCACACAAATCAAAAGTATATTCGATTTGACACTTGATTAACTTGTTGCTGTTTTGTAGATACATGATTCAACAGAACGCTTTCACCTAATGCAATATCGATGCTTCGTACATTAGAACAGTTTGCGTTTCCATTCACGATGTCATACTTGAATGAATATTGTAAACTATCCAAATTGTAACATAGTCCAAATTATAACAATCGAACAAATAAACTAATTTTCTGCAAAACTTTGAAGGGTAACTATTGTTTTTTATATCATATTTTGAGACTATGTTACAATTTGGATGGTTTACGATACTTAACAATTTTCTCCACTTGTAGAGTAGTGTTTCTCCACGTGTAGAAAACATTGGTTCGACTACTATTGAGAGGACGCACTGAGCACACATCTACACAGATATGTAAAATGGCGCAGGATTAACGAGTTAATTACTAGTCGACATTAACACCGATCACATGTAAATCGTTGACTATTTTTTACATCGCATTTAGAATTGCGTTTTACAGCGAGTGATAAACACGATTTTCTGCGATCTCAGTCTGTCTATTGACATAATTTTGAATTAACTGGAATCGAACAATAATGAAATCGCACGAAATAATGAATCATAAGCAAGAAATAATTATTATTTAGTTATAAGTGCAACAATAACCTGAATAGAATTCGGAGAATTTAAATAAGTCAGCTAAGCAATTTATTGTATATAGTCTTTAAGTGCATGAATAAAATCGTCAGTCTTTAATCAACCATCGACTACAATTCACCTGTCTTTTAATGACAACTTCTATCACACAGAACTTAGTCATTTTGGTCCTTCGAACACTAAAAACACAACCGAAAATCTTCAATTTCAACAATTTCAACAAAGTGAAAAAGTCCAACTTTTTTCAACAAGTGAAATATTCTTCAAGTTTTATTAGTGCAGTGTTATCAAATAACAAAACGCAAGCAGTATACGATCTTCGATCAAAATGCAGGCACTAATTAAAGCTCAACGCGACGCAATTCGACAATTGCAGAAAACTATCACCAACTACACCAAAGACGGCAACGACAGGAAGGCTGTTCCAGCTTACTTCTCACGTCGCATCAACCGCCTAGACACATGGTGGATAGCATTTGAAGCGCGCCATCAATCTCTGATGGCCCAACCAGACGCAAATCAACCATACTTCAGAGAAAACTTATTCGATTCGAGCAGGGAGTTGTACTTGAAACATCGCAATGAATTGCAAGAAGGTTTAGTAAAAGTCGCTCCACAAGGATTTGCAATGCCACCAAATCCGAACGAACCCAACGACGATGAAGACAACAGCGATTCAGATACGGAAGATGAAGCATTGAGCAATATTTTGGACGCAACGTTAAAAGACTTTATCGACGATAAATGCGATGGCGCAAATTCGACAGCATCAGAAATCAGTAGCATCGAAAATGGAAATAACAATAATCAGTCCAACGCACAATCATCTGCAACTAATGAAGTTCCAAACAACGAGCCAAACAACGAAAGCGGAGAAATTCTCAAATTGCTGTCACGGACATCTACAATTTGATCAAATCTTCGCAAGAAATGCGCTCAAACCAGAGAAACGGAATGATTAAAGCTCAATTGGAATTGCTACGAGAAACATGGAGCACATTTCGTTCTCACTACTTCACGCTGCGCGCAACAAGCAACCGAATTAGCATGCAAATCAATATGCAAGCTCTACAAAAAAAATACACCAGTGCAATCGGACACTTGAATGAAATTTCATGCAGCGACCACAACAACTCCGATTTACCAAAACTAAAAATACCGGAATTCAGCGGAAAACGCGACGAGTGGCGCACCTTCATCGATTTATTCAACAAAATTGTGCACGAAAAAAACATCAGTACATCATACAAAATGGAACACCTGAAAGCGAATCTCAAGGGGCAAGCTGCAAGATTGGTAGCGGATTTAACAACGGCTGATCAGTACGAGGCGTGCTTGCAGGTACTATACAAACGCTATGATAACAAACGACAACAGTTCGGTGAGTATATAGATAAGTTGTTGCAGTTACCAAGACATAAAAGTGAAAACAGCCACGAGCTTCGCACTATGCACGATATTTGCACCGAAACAATGTTAGCAATAAAAAACTTGGGCATCAACACCGAAACATGGGATGCACTAATTTGTCATATTTTAACGAAAAAGTTACACGACGATACGGTAAAACACTACGAGTGTCAACTACGCAACGTTCGCGAAACTCCGAATTTGCAAGAATTTCTGGCATATTTAGAAAACAGGTATTTGGCCATTCAATCTGTTGAACAAAAAAATTACACTCAAAATTTTTCCAACAAAAAAGATAAAAAAGAAAAAGTGATTGAAAAATTCGAAAAATTTGAAAAAATCGCGAAGTGTCTATTATGTGACGAGGCTCACAGCCTTCGCGTATGTCAGAAATTTTTGGCAAAAAGCGTGAACGAACGAAGTCAATTTATAAGATCTAAGGGCATTTGTGCAAATTGTTTATCTGGTTCACATAGCAAAGTCATTGAATGTAAAAGTAAATTTACTTGTAAAACGTGTAACAAAAAACATCATTCATTACTGCATTTCGATTCAGTTAAATCAAATGTTGCGAAAATTTCGGACTATCAAGCATCGAACGATGAACACGAAAATGATAATTCAGTAGTATCAGCAAATTCTTCAGCATCGAATTCGCGTGTATTATTAGCTACGGCATTAATTAGCGTGAAAGGTAAAAATAACGAAAAATATGCACTTCGTGCTCTGATCGATCAAGGATCGCAGAGCGCGTTCATCACCGAATCAGCAATGCAATTGCTCAAACTAAAAAGAATAAAACAAAAAACTTGTGTAAGTGGAATAACAAAAGAAAATCAGGTGTGCAATTACATTGTTGACTTGCACATTTCGCCTCGATTCACTTCAAATTTTGTTTTGAATACAACTGCAATTGTATTAAAAAGTTTGGTAAATTTATCACGAAATGAAAATGTTTTTAACAAATCATTCTCACATTTGAACAATCTTCATTTCGCTGATCCTTCATACATTGAAGCTGGTCCGATAGACATTCTTCTCGGCGCAGCTGAATACGCACAAATCATAAAACCGGGTCTCATAAAAGGTTCTACAGACGAACCGATCGCCCAAAACTCTGAATTGGGTTGGATCATTTCGGGACCAACCAATTTTGATTCAGCCGTGGGAGCACAAGTAACAACGCTCATTTCAGTTGTCGACGTCGAACAACGTATATCTGAATTTTTTAAGCATGATGATATAAAAATCGACGATGACGAGTGCGCTCTCACTGAAGAAGAACAAATGTGTGAAAACCACTTTCAAGAAAACACTATTCGTTTGGAAAATGGAAGATATTGTGTCAAAATGCCATTCAAAAATGGAAAAAATGCACCAGATTTAGGAAACTCGCGAAAATGCGCCATTGCAACATTTTTGCAGCTTGAAAATCGATTCAAAAAAAATCCTAAATTGGCAGAAGAATATAAAAAATTCATTCACGAGTACATTGACCTAGGTCATATGGAACGATCGGTTTACAATCCAAATATCACATCGTATTATTTACCACATCATTGTGTAATACGAGATAGCACAACTACGAAACTTCGGGTAGTGTTCAATGGCTCTCAAAAAACTGACAACGGAAAATTTCTCAATGATGAACTTGCATTGGGTGCCATAGAACAAAAGGACATGTTAAGCATTCTAATCAATTTTCGCATTTACAAATATGCATTTACGGCTGACATTGAGAAAATGTACCGCCAAATTTTAATCGACGAAAGCCAAAGAGACTTGCAAAAAATCATTTGGCGTGATTCCCCTGAACTACCGCTTTCTGAATTTAGACTTATCACGGTCACATACGGCACCAGTCTCGCTCCGTTTTTATCACATCGCACTACAAGACAACTTGCAATCGATTGCGAAAATGAATATCCAGAAGTATCAAATACCATAAGAAAAAACATGTGGGTTGACGATGTGGTAAAAGGTGCTTTTACTGAGGCAAAAGCAATACAATTGTGTAGCGACTTGCGCAAGGTATTCAGCAAAGCCGGATTCAATTTACGAAAATGGTCTTCAAACAACGTAAATGTGCTGTCCGCAATTCCGGAGAGTGATCGTGAATTGAAGGCTATAAGCAGCAACGTGAAAGCGTTGGGCATAAAATGGTCGCCGTCTCAAGATGTTTTCACATACGAACTCAGTTTAAAAAATCATTCAAATCCATTTACAAAAAGATTGCTACTATCTGAAATCTCTTCAATGTTCGATCCACTTGGCTGGATATGTCCAGTAGTAATTTCAGCGAAAATTTTGGTACAAAAGTTGTGGGAGAAAAACGTCGATTGGGATGAAATTGTACCGAAAGAAATCGCTGAAAAATGGTTGGAAATAAAAAGCGAATTGCATCTCATTAATGACATCAGAGTGGAACGTTGGATAAATTACAATCCTGAGGATGTCATGGAGTTGCATGGTTTCGGTGACGCAGCGGAACCAGCATTCGCAGCTGTGATTTACATTAAAAACGTCACGCAAAACACGGTGCGATTATTAATCGCAAAAAATAAAGTAGCTCCTCTGAAAACAACGAAAGACGCACTCACAATACCGAGATTGGAATTGTGTGCGGCAAATTTACTTGCCAAATTGACGAAAGGCGTTTTAAAAGCAACAAACATAAATTTCAGCAAAATTTTTCTTTGGTCCGATTCAAAAATAGTCATCGATTGGATTCGAGGAAATCCGAAGCGATACAAAAAGTTTATCGCACACCGTGTTTGTGCAATAGATAAGGCAATTGGAACAAAAAACTGGTATCATGTTACCACTGACAAAAATGCAGCAGACTGCGCTTCACGCGGCATGTTGCCATCGGAATTGCTGAGACATGAAATGTGGTGGAATGGCCCACAGTTTTTGCGTGAAAACAATTACTATGCAAACAATGCAAGTCATTTAAATAAAGTTGACCCAATAATTGAATCACTCGCATTAAGTGTAGAAATCTCTCCAATTTCAAACGAACAAATTCTTCCTGAAGTCTCGTCGTTCAACAAAATGAAACGAATAATCGCATACTGTTTTCGTTTTGCATCGTTATGCAAAGCAAAACAGGGGCCCAAAGCATTGTCTCCGATTTCGGCTGATGAGCTAAATTTAGCGGAAACAGCAATAATAAAAATCATTCAACGGGAGGCATTTGGTGCCGAAATAAGTGAATTAATGAAGAAAAGATCAGTAAATTTTTCAAGTAACATTTTGAAACTAAGCCCATTCTTAGATGAAAATAACATTCTGCGCGTAGGTGGCAGACTACGAAATTCGGATTTGGTGTTTGGACGAAAACATCAAATCTTAATACCAAAAAACAATAGCGTAACAACTTTAATAATTCGTCATTTTCATTTATTATGCATGCACGGTGGAGCGAAAGCCACTGAAGCAATCATCAAACAGCAGTTTTGGATTGTGAATGCACAAACAGAAATAAAGAAAATTTTGCATCGTTGCATTCCTTGCTTCAAACAAAGACAAAAAACCATGTCACAATTAATGGCAGATTTGCCGGCCAATCGCGTAAACATTGTTGAAAAGCCATTCACCAACGTAGCAGTAGACTACACCGGTGCAATTCCATACAAAACGGCAAAAGGTAGGGCTGGTAAAATTTCTAAGGCTTACATTTCAATATTTGTCTGTATGGCTACAAAGGCACTTCATATCGAACTAGTATCAGATTTAACAGCCGACGCGTTCATAGCTGCCGTTCGCAGATTGGTAGCGCGTCGTGGAATGATCAAGAGCTTCAACAGTGACAATGGCACAAACTTTGTAAAAGCTAATAAAGATCTAAGTGATTTATTTGAAATCGAAAAAGAAGAGTTCAAAACAATCTGCGATGAACTTTCAAAGCAAGGCATTTCTTGGCATTTCTCACCCGCTGGTGCGCCTCATTTCAATGGCCTCGCCGAGGCTGGTGTGAAAGTTGCAAAGACTCATTTAATAAAAACAATCGGAAAAACTGCGCTAACATTTGAAGAATTGTCCACATTATTGTATCAGGTGGAAGCATGTGCAAATTCAAGACCACTTTGTGCACTATCTACTGACCCTGATGACATCGATTGCCTAACACCTGGACATTTCTTGATTGGGGCACCGTTACTGGCACCACCCGACGAAAGCTACATCGAAACGAACGTAAACTGGCTT